GGGCCGATGGGCGGGGGAGGGGGCAGTTGTGTGCCAAGAGCAAACTCCCCAGGTCTGTAACAGCAAAGCAGGCTGAGCGGGTGAGGGAAACGGAGGGAGGCAGTAGGGAGGGGTGGGGACTGCAGCAACTGGAGACCACATTCTAGCTTACATGTCACCCTCCGCTGCAGGGGCTGGGAGGTCAAGGGGTCAAATCCTGGCTCGGCCAAATATTGGCTGGTGACCTCAGATAAGCCCACGGTTGCAATTGTGCAGGGGTCCTCAAACTACGGCCCGCGGGCCACATGCACATACAAATATTGTATTTGTTCCCCTTTTGTTTTTTTACTTCAAAATAAGATATGTGCAGTGTGCATAGGAATTTGTTCATAGCTTTTTTTAAAACTACAGTCCGGCCCTCCAACGGTCTGAGGGACAGTGAACTGGCCCCCTGTTTAAACAGTTTGAGGACCCCTGCAATTGTGCATCCCTCTCCCTCTCTCCCCCACCACTCCCCGCACAACCTGGCGACAGTCCCTTCCCCACACGCTCACGCTGGTGAAACCATGGTGACTGGCAGGCAGGGCTGTGGTGCGGTGCCCGGATGCCCGGCCCCTCCCCGGCCACGCCGTGGTCACGCCACTGCACATGCATGCGCGCGCGCGCGCACACACACACACACACGCAGCTGACCACCTTCCGCGTTCGTAGAGGTCAGCTGGCGCTTTCTGGAAAGGGCGGAGAGTAAATATTTTAGGCTCTGCGGGCCAGACGGTCCGTGTCGCAACAGCTCGCTTAGTTTCTCAAATGTGCGTGTTTCCCATAACCCTCTTCTTCAGCATTTGCTCTCCAGCCTGCTGACCTCTGGCCCCTCTTTGATTCTTCATTGCTCCCCATTACATTTTCAGTAAAAATAAAACGAGTGTGACTGAGGTCACAATCTGGCTCTTTATACAAAGCTACACATGCAAGATGCTAACTAGTGCAGAAAATATGTATCATGGGAAAAAGTTAAAATTAAAATGAGAACCTGAAAT